ACTGTTAAAGAGGCAGTTGTTTGATAAGTAGCTTCAGAAGGCAGTCTGACACTTTCACTGGTCCATATACAAAATATGCAGAAAGTGTCAGAGGCCCAGATAAGCTGCGTATCCAGGTAAAATATGCATAGAAAATTTCCAATTAGGCATTGAAAAATAATTGTTGCGTACCAATTACGCATTTAAAATGTTAGATACGCAAAAAGATTAAAACAAATGCGTACGGAATATATTTATAAAAATCGCTTGCGTAATGAAAAAGACATCAATTGCAATCAAGTTGTACTGTTAGTATAGGACTAGTGTTGTACTGTCAGTACAGGATGAGTGATTTTTATGAAATCATTTCCATTATATTTAAGTTGGTTTTGATTAGGTATGACATAAGGCAGAACATACATGCTTAGTAAACTTACTCAATGACATAATACTTAGGCGAGTAAAATGACTGAAATACGCACATATTTGAAAGCAGTGGGTAACAGAAAATGAAATACCCACTCAACATTCATAATACCCACTCCAAAAAAATACATTGGGTACAGTACCCACATGAGCTAAATCTTATCTGGAGCTCTGAGTGTTGCACTGTATCCTTTATCATGCTGAATTAAGACTATGGTATTACTGGTACATAAGAAAACCTTGACATTTCAAAGGTAAGTACTGCAACAGCATCTAAATAGGTATATGGGTATATTGAGAAAGATATACACAAGTCTATTCTTGGCGTTTTCTAAATATTAATGAAAAAAATGTATGGTGTTCATAGACTAATCATTTTAAGATTAGACATTCATGTTTCTGTTACTATTGCAAATTAAACATGTCAAATTTCTGATGTCCTTATGATACCTTTGTTTGTTGTTACACGCTGCACACAGCCTTATTCAGGCCATAGTATATGGCAGCAGTCTCTAAATCTATTTTGTACCAGTCAATCCAGTGATCAACAGCATGAGCATCGATCTACACAATTTTTGATACAATGACAATGTGCTTATAGTAACTATTGGATAATTTGGCAAGGAATATCTGATTGGTCCCCATTCTAGAGATGCATGTCTAATAGATCAAAACAATATCTAAATGTATTTATGTTCCAAATTTTATAGGTTGATTAAATTTGAACATGAAGATATTCTGTGTTCTGTAACAAATCAAAGAAAATTTCCACGATTCAATTTTCTTTTCAATTCTGAAAAGCCTCAATGACGAACATCAATTACAAAAAGAAATTCAGAGCTACAGATAACTTTTAGGGTCATTGAGTTATGTACTGGCTTGTGTTCATCTCAATTGGGTATCCTAATTTTCCTTTGAGTAAACAAATAAATTGTACCCACCTCACACAAACTCAATTGGGTATTTTGCCATTTTCCATTGATTGTAAAAATATAATAAAGCTTAAATGTTATTTATATTCGATCTGTAATATGAGAAACGACAAGAAAGACTGCAAGTTGCCAAGTTCATAAGTTGAAACAGAACCTCTGAATATACCTGTTATTTTATCTATGCACCGGTACGCAAGCTATGATTCAACATTCTTGTGTGTACGCTTGAGATCACATTTAGTGAATTTCACAAAAATTAATGCGTACTTGTACGCAATAGACTTAATACGAATTGAGTTTTCACATAAATATTTGCGTAATTTACGCAGATACGCAGCTAATCTGTACCTCTGAAATTGGTCTTAACTTAGACAATATCTAGTTTTACTTGGCTTATAGATCCATTGAATCAAATATATTAGAGTTAGAAAGCAATATTAAGATTCTATGAGAGCAGTTCAAACAATTACCCACTGTAAGGACATGTCAAATCGCAGTGAAAACACAGGAACCATTATTGTTTCTAACCAAGCTGAGCTTACGACAATACGTGCACATGAATGTGACATGGTGCAGTGTTCACGAATAGCGTCTGACCCTCTGACAAATCCAGCAGATTCGCCAACGGTCTGATAGAAATCTAAAACCCACGGGGCCCCTGTGTCTGTCTGTATATTTCACAATGACTTTGACTGAAGTTGTTATATGTGACATGTGACACTTATAAATCTTATGTTTGTTAATAATTTCAATGCCAATTATAAGAAATGTTCAATCTGAAATGTGTGTTTAATTTCATTCTATGGGTCCTGTGAATTTTCAATGGGTCAGACAGACATCTGAAACTTGCAGGACCCAATGTCCTGTTACTTTGAAACACCATTCGTGAACACTGATGGTGCACTTGTCAAAAAGAAATTCTGGATTAACAGGACCTAAAACTAATTCTACAGTGTGATACACAATCACTTACACATCTGTCATGTGTTACACATGGTAGCAGGAAATGTCACAAGACCAGAGTGAGCGAGTTGGGTTTTACTCCACTTTTAGCAATATTCCAGCAATATCACAGCAGGGGGCGCCAGAAATGGGTTTCACACATTGTACCCATATGGGGAATCGAACCCAAGCCTTCAACGGTTCAATCATCATAAATTTGTCATGTTTTCAAATCATAGGTACATTATCAAGCTATTCAGTTGGTTGAGTCATTACAGTACTTGTCACCTTTATGAATGTGTCTTCAACTGTGACAATGACATCCACAGGGTTGTGTATACCATGTATACTGTTCATATACTAGACCAGACCAATTGACAAGTGTTTGCACAAATCCATGGTTGGGCTCAAGTGTGCTGGTTTATTAAGCTAGGTTCAGATAAATGGGACCTTCAATTTTTCTGTTTTGGTTTTCATTTGTGGTTTACTTGGTATAACACCAGTTGGAAAAAGTAAATCACTGAAATATGTGTTTAAAGATTATATATACTAGGATTGTACGGTATTACCGGTATACCACAATATATTTTACAAACAATACACATTGCAATATTTTCTGGGACGCCCGGTATATTGTGTTGAAAAAATTACATGAAGTTTTGTGATTAGCTCTTAAGGTTTAAATAAAAATCTACAGACTTTCATTAGAGCAGATATTTTCCTTTGTAATTCATCAACAAAAAGTGCCACTTTACACAATATAAATTACATAAAAGGGAAAACTGAATTCATTTTCGGATTGCAGTTATCAGAACCATAACATTTTTTTTAGTCTTTGTAATGAAGAAAATAGGATCTACATGTACACTTAATATCACTCACTGTCAAACACCTACGCTCCCAATATATATCGCAATATGGGTACCTGAATCGCAATATATTGGAATACAATCTAATACTCAGCCCTTAGAAATACCATGGTGTTAACTATTATATCTTTTGACTGTGCTTCTAATAGAATTCTATTTCATTCACAATTATTTCGTATCAATATTGCCAGGATCTACATGATGGCTAAAGATGTTGTTGCAAGTTAATGAAGTCAGCATGATAAAAAAATAACTTCTAATGCTGACAACCTTACATCACATAATGAATGACATCAAAGAAATGACAATTCAGCATTGCCGACATGTGGAGAATTATCTTCTCACTACAGTGATTGAGCTTAGATTAACACTGATTTGCAAAGTGTTTCAGTAACAACCTAAGCAAAGTATTTGATCATGGTGTGTCAGTTAGATGTGGAAGTAAAGTACAAACTTGTGCAGGTTTTAAACATTTGCCACTTTGGTAAATCCACAGGTAAATGTATGGTGCCAGCAAAAAACTTCACATTATCATGATGGACCTAGATTCCAGCGAAGGATCAGCGTTTTCTGTCACATCCAAGGGACACCACTCTGCACAACAAACTGCGACACCTTAGTCAATAGTCTTTAGGCTTACAATTCATGTACTTCAACAACCATACATCAACAATTGGTTTGACAACTATGATATTCAGTTAATAAGCTACTTAAAAAAACACCAACATGTTGGTTATGGTTGCTATCAGCTGGTCTCACTACAACACAATATATCCTTGGGCTAATTGAAATATACTACTTGTTATGGTTCACCAACTTTATCGTTATTCTAGAGACCACTGTAATAAAATGCCTTACTTTCTATGACAGGTCAGAACATAAATGTGATTCAAGTCAACAGTAACTAATAAAACAAACTGATCAACCATTTCATGTTCTCCTCAGGAGAAGTGGAAGAACACTTGATTTTTCATATGATATACACTATGGAGCAGAGTTTCTTTCAACTTCTGTTATGTAGTATACAATGATCATCATCCTGAATGGAATCAAAGGAACGATTGCTCTCATCAGTTCACCTGGCCTTTCTTATCATGCTTATCGACCTAAAGGGGTAAAGTTTGACAATGATGACAGAAGGCATGTATATTATAATTGATGTCAAAATATATAACTTTAAAAAGTACCACATTAATCTACAAAGTATGCTACAATTGACATCAAAATTAAACCTACAAAAAGTGCTCAATTGACATTACAATAGTTCTTCTGATGACAAAAATATAAACCAACTAAACATCCACATCTAGTTATTTTTACTCTAACAAGTCTTCTTTCTTTTAATTCTATCTAACCCAAAACTCTTACAATATATTTGCAACAAATAAATATAATGATGAATAATTAACGAGACCAATTATTTTAAAGACTATCAACATACAAAATTTCTTACAAAGTTACTTTGTATTTCTAGTTATTAATAAGTTTATATCACCAATACGCACACAATAAATGTACATGGCTGTGGCAAGTATATATGACTAAGACTGGTATTGTGATTAACCATCCATATTGTTTATTTGGATGACAATTAACCAGCACACCAAGCCAGACAAACTGATTGAGTTGCTCTTTACAGCAATATTCCGCTGCTTGAGGGCCAATTCTAAGTGAGATCTTCACATAAATTTATGGACAAAGAAAGAAATATCACAACAAACATATAACAATATAGTCTTCTATCTATGTATGTTAACTGTAAATGGATAAAAAATCATTTTGTATTAAATGGATTATAACAGTGTGAGATAATTAAAGACTCTAATGTTACAAATAAAAAAAGTAATATTACCTGTTCAGAAACTATCTTCAACTAGTGTTGTCAGAATCCAGAGCAATTCTTGCACTAAAGTCTGCTATGTCCTCATTGCACTGCCACTTATACACATCAAATAATCATCAAAATCAAAGGCAGTGATTTGGCACAGTTTGTATCTAAGTTATTATTTTTTCATTCCTTGCTTTCAAAAACACAGAAGCAGCTTTACAGAAGCTGGCTAGAATGAAAGAGGTCAACTCTTCAGATGAAAAATATATCTTTGAGATCAAAAAAGGCACTTGTACACGTTGGTTATGTTCTTCCTCACATCACGAATAAGATAATCTGTTCCTACACTTATTTACAACCACCATCTACTAGAAATAAAAGCTACTGAACAAAAGTGGTGGCACAATACTGACACAGCATTAAATGTTAATGTCGCGAAGAAAGATATGTCAGGACAAATGACATCTGTGTTTGTCAACATGGATAACTGGGGTGTACAACCAAGTCTGTTTCTGACTAGACACCATTATCATTATCCACTGATTGAAGTTCTGATTTGTGATTAGCATTTACCAATCATTGTTGATATTTAGCTTCATATGCATGCCAATGAAATGTCTTATTTCAAGGCAAGTCACTGTTTTGGGAATTGTCATGTGACCTTGAAATAGATCACCCTCCCTTTGGTCAACAGCTTTGCCACTGTTGGGCTAGCAGAGGCCGACGATGCATCAGCTTACCCCCTCATAATTTGTGGAGATTCGAGCTCTTATCCTGAAATTATATTAAAGATGACTTGTTTGCTGCAATAGCAAGTGATATGGACATATCAGGTCACATATCTAAGGCTGTCAGAACTTTCTGGGAAATTCAATCCGGTACCTCTCACCGCCAAGCAGAGGCTCTCGCCGGGAATCACATTTTTTTCATTGTTCAGTCTTCCTCTGTAGAAATTAACACTATAAGCCTGTAAAGACGTGAACGAACATCCAAAGAGATGACACTCTGGTGCAGACGTTTCCTGTACGTCCACTTTAGATGTACACCTGGAACAATATCGTGCTTTCTCACGGCCACAGGTGCTTTGAGCACACGATGTTTACAACTTTTCCCGCGATTCCACCAGTTAGTGTTCAAATTTCCTTTTGCAAAATTCAAACAACACTGTCTCTTTTGATTGCATACTATTTTCGCACCGTTTCTAATCAATAACTTTCACTGTCATTTGCATAAGATTGATAATGAAACGTAAAATTTGTCAAAACGTTCGTGTCCTACTTTCGCATTTCGGTAAAATGGCGATGACATCCCATAATGTAATGACTTAATCTCCAAACTCTATCCTACATTACAATATTTTATGACTACATATATTTCTTTATTAATATATGATTTGTTAATATCAAATGTATATACAAGTGTTAGGAAATGTAACAAACTAATATCGCAAACTTTTGGATTGAGAGTATAGCCTGAACAAGACACGTACTTCGTTACAAGGGAAATAACTGCGTCACAGATTAATAATTTTTAGTAATGCATTGCCTCCCTTTGACCACAGATTGCTCCATGAAACAGCTGTCTGATTCATAAGACATCACGAAATCTCATGACGAATTGAAGTAAAACAGTTTACGTTAGAAATTTAGCAACTTATGCTAGCCGTAAGAGGTGACTAAGTGGAGGGTGTGGTCATATTCAGTGACTTGTATGATGCCTCTTATTATTTCGTAAGCCTGTTACTAATACTTTAATTGACGTAAGTCACTAGATTGTCTGGTCCAGATTCGATTATGTTACTGATTGCTGTCATAAAATAAAGTGAAGAATCATAAAGTTACCAATTAATAGAATACCACCCACTCGAGATGAGTAATTGAACAGAGTGTTTACTGCGACTTTATGCATGAGTAGAAGAGTGAGTTATACAGTGTCTGAGAAAATGGTGTTTTCGCGCTATAGTCAAAATACCTGTTGAACTGTTAGGCGAAAGAATTTTGTTTGATTGCTTGTTGTATAACATCACACTCATCAATATTCCAGCGATTTGAAAATAATTATTGTTTGGATCTTCACGGTCGTTAGGCAAAAGAAAGTATGGATATGAAAGTTGGATTTGATATTTCGACTTTCTTCTTACAGAATTTTCATGGGTTCATGGGTTCAAATATATTCCTCTCTCCGACTTGTTACGTCATAATACACTTTTAAATTTATGCAAGATTATGGCCTGATGCAAAATGTTCATCATATTAGCAGCTTAATGATGAAACCTGTGTCATGCAATATCTTTTTCTCATGTATTTTTGTAATCTTTTGCTTAGTTGCTTCATTCAGATTTCGGTCGTGTGAATAATGTTGTGGCTAGTAACTTTCACGCATCGCTAGCCCGCACTGGCTAGCAAAATTTGGAAACTATTTCGCACACTGGTGCTACCTCCATCCATAGATGTCAACACTGAATAACCACTTCTTTTCTGTTGCCACATTGGGATAGCCTAGTGGTTAAAGCGTTCGCTTGTCACACCAAAGACCGGGTTCGATTCCCCACATGGGTACAATGTGTGAAGCCCATTTCTGGTGTCCCCTGGCTGTGATATTGCTGGAATATTGCTAAAAGCGGCATTAAACTAAACTTACTCACTAACTCACTCACTGTTGCCGCATTTATAGCCATCATGAATAATATGCTGAATCCTCTTTTTGCACAGACAGTTTATGTCAACTGTTGAAGGGAGGGGTGCAAGAGAAAGTACACCCATTTTCTGTATGTAATTGGAACTTGAAAGAGAGCTGTTAATTTGATTATGTGTGTTTAACATAATTCATGACAGCAACAGGTTGTAAAAAGTAAAGGGGTAAGAACTAAATTTGAAACAACAGGTCTCTTACCATGTTTTAAATGTCATGAACATGTGCCAAAATTAAAGATAACATGTCTGAGATGCCCTAGCTAAGAAAAGGTATAATACTTTATGGATGATAACTTCCTGGACTAGCTAATTTGGAAAACAAATTCCTATTTTTTTCTTCCTCTGTCTGAACTTGACAGCTAATTTGCATCTGACTGCTTCTGGAACTCATTGATCTTGATAACAAAATTTGATATCATTGATATGCAAGCTGAATTTGAACAAAGTTCTCTTAGCCGTCAACATGTTAAGGGGTGCTTACTTATTGTCCAGGTGTATATATTTAACATGAATGTTGTTGCTCACTTCAGTTTCTGTATTTATTACATTCTATCGGACCATTTTATGGTTAAAACAGAAAGTGAGTGGATGCAAGCGTAAATGAGTATCCATTTCAATGTCCAAGTTCAGAAATGAAGTTGAGTCCATAGTATAAAGTACCCACTAAATTTGACTCACCAGTCTGCATAATGATAGCTTCTGAAACGGTTTTAACGACTTTGTGTTGTCTAATATTGTCTTGATAGCTCTTCTTCCTTGGGTCCCCGCCAGGATGGCCACTACCCTCAGTCAGTGAGTTTTTCTTAACTCTAGTGGGTACTCAGACAAAATAATATATTTGAAACAAAATACAGAGATTTCAGCGATATAATTACGTTTGGTACTAGTTATTAAATGTTTTTATTGCAGGTGTGCTACCTTATGTTTACAATGTTACCTACTTTCATTTGTGTAACTGGGGCGGTGGGGTAGCCTTATGGTTAAAGCGTTGTCTCGTCACGCCGAAGACCCAGGTTCAAATCCCCACATGGGTACAATGTGTGAAGCCCATTTCTGGTGTCCCCCACCGTGATGTTGCTGGAATATTGCTAAAAGCGGTGTAAAAGCAAACTCAGTCAGTCATTTGTGTAACTTGACGTGTACCTCCTCGTCACTAGTAAATCATTGACACCTCTTTCATTATGTCCTCAATCTAATGGTAGTACTTCTACTCAGGACTTTCCCATCAGCCTAAACCGGTTGTTCGAAATATCCCACATTCGATTTTGCTTTCCTGCCCTCCTGCCCTGTTTGCCTCTTTCACATTCCATCATCCATCTCTTTTGTTGTCCATTACAGTCACTTGGCATGACACATTGCACCTTTCTATCCCCCTACCATATTGTATTTATATTATCAGTTCAGGACTAAACCTTGGCTTATAGTGGCATGGTTCTTGTGGGCTACCTTCTTTCAACATAACCCACACTGATATATACTGAACAGCAAAAGAAATGCAAATCTGGCCTTTTGTCACGTTTTTGAATAGAAGACAACCAAACTTATGTCTAATCATTTATTCTGTAGAAAAGTGCTGAAAGTTGCTGTTGACATTGAATTGCGATAAGTTCAAATTGATCACAGTCTGTCAAATGGAGATACCCCTGAACGCGAAAAGTGACAGTCTCTTTAGTAGCGCATATAGCCACCTTGAGCTTGCACACAGGCCGTGCAACGTTGCCTCATTGAGTTCACTAGGAGAGTCTGAAAGAATGCCTGAGGCAAGTGGTTCCACTTAAACACCAAGCTCTGTTCCAACTGTGCAAGTGTGAGTGGCTGTCTACCTACAGCAATCCTCCGTCCAATTTTGTCCCAGAATGTTCAATGGGAGCCATATCCGGGGAAAGAGACGGCCATGGAAGAACGTTAATGTTGTTCTGAGCCAGATAATCCATTGACACCCTTGCTGTGTGAGGGCTATAAACGTCGCTGGCGTTGTTGACGTGTCAAAATTGGTCACACATAAAGCCCTCGGCAGTGGATTCAAGCAGCCGGAAGACGACGCCTAATCGTATCGCTGGACACTGCTTCCCTTGACCCAGGAACTATGGCTGCTGTTACTGTTGCTGCTTGAGTTTGGTTCCTTAGATGAGTGACCGGATGAACCGATCTTGCGCATAAGTCATGGCCGTCCGGTATGGGGACGATCAGCAGCAACGCCGGTTTGCTGATGACGTTGAGTAAGTCGTGTAATTGTGGTAAGATGACAGCCCAATTGTCTAGCTACAGTGGTTGCAGAGCTACCTCCGTGCAACTTTCCAGTGGCCATGCCCCTCTGCTCAGTCGTTAGTCTAGGCATCGTTTGTGTGGCGTGTACACCTCCTAGCGTCAGTACTGAACTGTTTTTTGACACAAACCTTTATAAGTGAAATGCATGCTTTCCATCAAGACCCGTCAATACACATGCTAAAATTATGGTTTTGCTGCACTGTGGGTGTGTTTGTGTGAATGTTTCGTATGGACGTCAAATTGCATGACATAATCTCATCTGGGATGATTACGTCACTTTACCATGAACGTTCCATAAACATGAACGCTTATCTTTAAGAGATTTCATTTTTTCGAAACTTACGTTTCTTTTGCTGTTCGGTACATAAAATTATTGGGGTTTCCAGTCACTTGCTTTCCAGCAGGAACCTGGACTGGGTTGCCTTCTTACAAGATTGAACCAAGTTTTTCCCAGGTTTTCAATCAGCAATCTAGTAACAATTAAATCATGTAGTGGGGCCTGGTGGCGTTTGCTCCCATTTCTTACCTGCAGCGTTAGTCAGGTGGCGATGTTTCCGTCATTTGACAATTATGTTTGCCAACGCAAGTTGCTACATAGCTGTATTTGGCTGTGATGACATTTAGGTGAGGTCAAATTGGGTTTTACGCCGTGCTCGAGAATATTTCGCTCATATGACGACGTGCATGCGTGTGTATGTGTATGTGCGGCTGCTTGTACTAGCCCAGACTTAAGCTGGTTTTATAGTGATAGCCCACTGAGATACCACGCCGCAGTGAAACATGAATACCCCACTCAGACACTTTATACTGACTCCGAGCCGACCAGTCCTTGTTGTACCCATTAATGCCGAGCGCCAGGCAGGGACCAACAAGTACCATATTTGAACGTCTTTTGGTATGACGCGGTCAGGGATCGAACCTTCGGCTCTCCGGGCGGACGCTCTAACCACTACACCACGGAGGCGGTCGATGACATTTAGGCCTTACGAATAGTATTATTCCATTTCAAAATTGTCGAGAACCGCCACACCCTTAGCCATTAAATCCACTGTTGCACCTGTTATTCCTTCATTGCTGTAATATCTCTTGCTGTAACAATGACCTGTCAACAATGGAATATGAAGCCAGTGTGGGAAGGTTAACTAATGCAGGTGCCAGGTCGCATCCTCTCTAATTTTTGTCGATCTGTAAAGATTCGGGTTAAAATTGATGTTCATGCTTTACGTACCAGGCAGCTAACAGGATTGGGTGGGCAGGCTTGTTGACTTGGTTGATGCGTGTCATTGTATTCCAGCTGGTAGATTGATGCTCATGATGCCAATCACTGGATTGTCTGGTCCAGACTTAATTATTAACAGAGTGTGTGCTGTGATTAAGCAGGAAAATAGCCGAATGCGGCATTAAACAGAAAATGTTCACCAATTTGTCTTGAAAACTCATTGCACAGAGTGCTATGTTGATGATCATCTGGGGTTTGGACTTAAGGCAGATTAAAACCCTCACAGATGTGTTAATTGGTTAAAATGTCTGCATGAGATTTTTCCCCTGCATCTTAGAACTTGGAGGCTTGGGCTTAAACCCAGACCACTCTCTCCACAACCATGGTCAATCTTGAAGCACTTTCTCTGTCACATTAACATCTGTCTGTGACGGAAGGGTATTTATCACAGGATGGGCAGACATGTTTGTTGTTTTATTGTAAAGATGGCCCTCACAGATACCATGCTGCAGTCAAACATGGATTCCCACAGTATACTGACAGAGACCGTGTACCGATATATGCTCTCTGATACAATGACGAGTGATCCCATTAATGGTGAGAACTGGGAAGGTTAACAATTTGTATCATCTGTTAACTGGCTGCACTCTTTCAGTGTGTATGACACTAAGGAGTGAATGAGTATGGTTTCATCGTATCCCAATTGCCCAGATCAATGCTCATGCTGTTGACCACTGGATTGTCTGGTCCAGACTCGATTATTTATAGACCGCACCATATAGCTGGAATATTGCTGAGTGCAGCGTAAAACTAAGGAGTGAGTGAGTATGTTTTACGCCACTTTTAGCAATATCACTGCAGGGACACCAGAAATGGGCTATATACATTTTACCCATGAGGAGAATCAAACCTGGATCATCAGTGTGATGAGCTGAAGCTTTATCCATTAGGCTACCACACCGCTCCTTATGACATTAGGAAGTGATCCAAGACTGATGTTCATTGTGTGATATAAATAATGCAAAATATAACAAAACAACCAGATATGATGCAGATATTTTAATATCAATTGCATCAGTAGATAATAAATGATCGGTAATTGTCTGAAGGTACTGCAGGAAGGCCATGCAGCATTCTGCGGTATCTCAGAGCACAATATTGCCTATATACAATGGACAGGAGACATGTTCTCAGACAACTAACAACAGGTTATACATAACAATTACAAAACATGAAACGAAACACATACCAGGTACATCTATTTGACACTTAATTTCATTCAATAGCCTCTAAAACAAACTGAAAATATTTGTAATGAACTCTCACTCCTCCAATCATTAACAATGGAGAGGAGACAAATATGACATCTTTGGTTTTAATTAATATTTTTTGATAACACAAATGTTGTGTATAGTACTATGTCAATGGTATAATGAACTGATGATAAAGACGCCTGCTAAATGAACAATGATAATTTGATTGTTCTTATTGATAATGATTACTTGTATAGACTTAATAGATAAATTGCTATGGAATTTTCAAGTGTTTCAACATATTTTCAATGTTTAGAGACTAGTGAAAGTAAAGTAGTACAGACACTGATAAGATTAGCATGACAACTAACAATTACAGAGTACCTCCTCATCATAATGGGGAGGTCAAGGCCAGCTAATAGTGGAAGTTCAGACACTAATTCAGTATTGTTACACATACATACTTTTTTTAATCTCCCTTAAGAGGGAAAATGGAAGTATGAAATTCATTATCTTTTAGACATAAAGAAATCCTTCTTTGGATGTTGTATTAAAAAAGAAATTTGAAAGGTTATGAGCAAAATGACCAAATACATACAGCTTGTAAGAAATGCCTTTCTGTATGTGCCTACAGTTGGATATTGTCCATTATCAATACATCAAAAGGGCATTGATAGCTTTCTGTGATCAGTTACAAAATCATCATGTATTAACTTCAATCAACATTTTCTTGGTGACAACATTTATAAAAAAAAAAATATATCCTTCACGACTATTGAGGTGAGCCACATTTGTGGATTGAGCGAGAGCACCTGCTTTGAGATTTGTTTTGTGATATTTCTGTTTGATCTTCTGACATAAGGTGATAGATATTATCAGACAACACCTCTGGTTCATTGCTTAGAATCACAGAAAGATTTTGAAATGGCAATCAGTAACCATGCACAAGGACAGGAGAACACTCAATTTCACAAGGTTATCTATGATTCTTCTCCAGCATGTTAGAACAGAGTACATTACTGTCAACAGAGAAATAATATCCTGCTATACAAGTTTTCTTTCATTTTTTCAAAAATAAATTTTACTAAGGTTAGTGATACTTAACTACTGCCAGCGAAAAGAGATATGCATCTGGGAAAAAAACAATGTATTGTCTTTTCTTCTTACCATATTTTTACACATTTAGAGATTAATGTACATTATTGCCTGCTGAAGTGGAAGATTTACAGCTAAGAGTAATGACATTACTAATACAATCTCACAAATATGACTCAATGATTAAATGTATTTAATGTAGTATGACTACTACAAGAGCTCAACATATATAGAGAGGATAGTTTGTTTCAAGTTTTGATTTCTAGTTGATTAAAGTAAAACTGTTGTTGAGTGACTAGCTAGTGGTTGAGAAAAGCAGTAATGGCTGACAGGTTGAAAGATAGAGGATGTACCAATAGAACACTAAAACTTTGTAAACACTTCATAATGGACATCATTCAGTCTTTCATAACATCAATCTCATATTGACCTGATACAGGTTTCAAATTGTTTGATAATGTTATAGATTCAAACATGAATTCCTCCCCTAAAACACAAGGTGTGATTAGGTCTGGGTCAAGGTGCCCTGGTAGAAAATGTGTACTCAACCCAGCCATAGTCTGATGACCATTTAAATTTATCTTTGGGAGACAAATACAAATCACTTTTTATTGCATTCCTAGAATAATTTGAACCATATAAAGGTTATCATTCTGAAAAAATTCTGGTAAAAATCTTTAAAAAACAGAAATAATTATTTACTTGCATTTTTCAAGAGCAGTTGGAAACAATGATGCCATTCACATATAGTACTGACGTATGGTATAAATAGTGATAATGAAATACACTGTTAGATACTTTCTTACCGGCGCTTAAACACACATACCATACATGCATTCTGATACATGTGTAGGTATAAAAAGGAATAAATAAGTTACATCAATGTTTTTTTCTTTAGTGATCTTCACCGAAAAACTCACACGCACCCCACCTGGAGAAGTTTTCACAAGCATATTTAGAATTATGAGAGGACTTGTTTACATGAGGAAAAATGTCTATATCGCCTGATGTTCACTGATAGTTGGCCTAGACAATATCTCAGTCACTTCCAAACCCTTTTTTTGATATAATAATGTGAAGATGTAAACCACAACTACAAGTATTGCAGTCTTTAAGCAGATGGGCTTTTGTAAATCTACACAAACGAAACAAAAGGGTTGATTCTGAGAAATGATAACTAAACCAAACAAGAAAATTCGTTTCATCAGCCAATCTTTTGTTCAAAAATATCAACCAAAACAAAAGAATGATAGAGAAACAGAAATGATATTAACGAAGTAAACAAAACGATCAACATACAAATGATAAGAACCCTGATATGAAACTGAGACACGTTCAACCAAACAAGGAGGTGGTATGATTAAGTTTCAAACTGGCAGAACAACTTTGTCCATTTACATGATATTACATCACTGAAAATCATTTACTTTTAATGTCTTTAGAACAAACAGTGGTTCTGATGGAATTGCTACAAAAATGTTTGCCTAAAGGACTGTTATTTTTTCAGCAAGTAAATGCAGCCAGAATACAAGGCTAAAGTCATGTGTGTACATATTTATCATATATATTCTAATTGTTGGTACTGAAAGATTGTATTAAAAATTTGAACAACCCTATGTTAACTAACACCAGTTTTAGTCACGTTTATGCACAAAATATTTTGAAAGAATTAGATATTCTGTCAATTCTGAGAGTACCAGGTGTTTATAGGTGGTTCAAGGGTCCTATATTTTTTTCTGTAGTTTTGTATCGAGTGAGCCCCTATATATATGTAACCAAAATATATTGGGGTTATAACAGTGAACATAGCATTTGGAGAGGGCTGTAACTACTCTTAATGTACCCTGACCATATCTGTGCCCCAGTTATGACACGTATAACAACTGTGTGGACATGGCCCCATTCCATTGCACTATGCTTACAAGTAATATATTCTACCATGACATTGAAAAATGCTTGATTCTGATTGAATAACAAGGTCTTCTTGTTTCTGCTGAAACCCCTATTAGATATATCAGCTTTCACATGGATAACTCATCAGTAATAATAAAAAGAACTTCAGGTGCCATTTTGTGGTAGGAATAAATTTGATATTTTTCAACTGAATCAGAAGATACAAATCTAATCTTCATTAATTAACATCTCTCTCAGCAATTAAACTCATTATGATGGTGAATGTTTCTGAAAGTTTAAACCTACCAAACTGGAGTCAAGCTGACAGACATTGTTTATTGGTGGGTTTACACTGCAAATATTAGTGCTATAGAGTACCTCAGCTACATAGTAACTGTTTAGATCTCGCCTTCTATCACAACACCGCGACATTGCAAACAACAGTACGACCCCTCCACAGACATACCACAGGCAACACTCAAATCTCACACATCACAGAACTCAACATGGAATTGACATTGTAAGTACTGTCAGTATTGATACAGCATTAATACCAGGAACTGAGGTAAATCAATGAAAGACAATCCTTTGCATGGCCAGAAACCATCCCGGAATAAACCCTAACTAGAAATATTTGCACAATCCTGTCCCTTCTCTCAGCAATGTAGCATTTAGTTGATATCAGGTTTGTTCTTTTCTTGTGATGGATCACAACTAGTCACAAACCCTACACTGTTGTTTCAACACCAAAGTTGTTCATGATGAAAGCTGTTTCCATGGCAATGCTTGTCCAAATTCACCTCTTCTGGTACAGAAATCCGAGAATATATACCCATATCAACACACAGAAATCCATCAGTTGATAAAAGTACAGTATATGATATCTCTTGCCAGATCAACAATATAGATGGCTTTGCAATAGTTGTATGGCAAATAGTATGCTGGCCCTATGGAGCAGTGATATGGTAACTACGGTGTGTGGAGCATGATATTGGAACACATCCCCCACCCCACACGAACTCACACAGCCACCAATTTTCATAATTCTTCAATCTTGCAACTGTCTCCATCAGATTTTTCACATTCATCAAAGTCTCTTTCCAAAACTGCTTGTCTGATAGATAAAACATGTTTCCATATGCAAGTGTCTTTCTGATAACTGTAAAAATCATCAATTGAATGACGATTTTAAGAAACAGTCAGTGCATTTGTTCAATCATAGTGACATGTTGTCAGTAGCAATGTATTTCTCTTCAAGAAGATGTTGACTGAAAGCTCTTCCTTGGGAAACACATGCCCTCCATAAAAGGAACCCGTTAAGGAAGACCTGAACATTCAATCTGTCCATCGATGGTACTTTCTTGAGAGTGCAAATGATGCTACAATGCCTAATATCTTCCAGACGACATGTTTCAACTAGGTTGGGACTTCATCTGTCTAAGAGCATGGTGGTGTGGTCAGGAGGGGTGGCTGACCGCTGACTCTACAAACTGGGCTCGGCACCGATGGCCACCCCATGTCCACTGCGGCCGCATGTCATGTTTGTCACCTCCGTCCACTGGTTGGTGTCAGGGTTGTAACATTCAACAGTTGACAGGAAATCGTTGCCATCATAGCCACCTGAAAATGAAGGGATCAGTGAATTAAAAAGGAAAGTTACATTGTCAAACTTCAACATTTTCAAAAGCCATACCCAGCAATATTGCAGTTATCATCGGATTATATGTTTCTTGACATCATAGTTTTCGGATGGCAGTGTTTACACTTGCTACAAAAAGGTGGGTTTCATCAAATGGACTTTGTAAATACACAGATGATGGCTGTGATTAAGACAAAGTTGTCTTTAAAAATTTAATCACATGTTAATAACTGTTCATGCAATAATTCAGAAAACTTAGGCATTTTGGCATAATTATTACTCAGGTTTCCATCTTAGACACATAATATTATCATAATTCTGTTTCATCTATGAAGCAAATTGTCAATAAAATGTATCCATGAATCACTGGTCAACATAGTGACATAAATATAACACCCAAACAACTATTGCACCAAAAAACTGTTTACAACCCAGACACCTCTGGATCCATGGTACAAAGTTGCTGGTCAATCTGACCTGCATGAGTTATCTCCCCTTATCTATGTTAACCATGTATGTGCCAGTTTGTTGTGGATTGTCCCAGTGACTGAATTTAATCTGCATGTTACCTGAATATACCGAACAAAGAAAGTCAGGGATCATAAACATTTTGGGGGACATTAATTTTGTAACTTTGATAAGTCATTACAAAAAAATTCCCCCAAGCTATTCATAATACCACTGTGTTCGTTCTGTTATCTGAGTACCCGTGAAGGTCCGGATCAGAATATTGATCTTCAGTAACCCATGCTTGTCGTAAGAGGCGACTAACGGGATCGGGTGGTCAGGCTCGCTGACTTGGTTGACACATGTCATCGGTTCCCACTTGTCGGGATCGATGCTCATGCTGTTGATCACTGGATTGTCTGGTCCAGACGTGATTTTTTACAGCCCGCCACCATATAGCTGGAATATTGCTGAGTGTGTCATAGAACTAAACTCACTCACTCACTCACTGTTATCTGGGCAACATGCAGATTATCTGCCACAACTGGGATCAACTGATTTTGTTCAGTATACAAATACTGACACAGAGTTGTCTGTAAAACATCATGATGTCTAGCAATGGGCAAGTTATTGAATTATTTGATTATTTCTTTTGACATGATAATTAAAGGGGGCGATGGGGTAGCCTAGTGGTTAAAGCGTTGGCTCGTCACGCCGAAGACCCGGGTTCGATTCCCCACATGGGCACAATGTGTTAAGCCCATTTCTGGTGTCCCCCGCCGTGATATTACTGGAATATTGCTAAAAGCGGCGTAAAACTAAACTCAGTCAGTCAGTCAGTGATAATTAAAGAAGAAGGTCCAATGCTTGTCATAAATAGAACGGGATTCTTGTGTTGCTGGAATACTGTACTCACACATACCCTGCACCATTCTTTCTGGAAAATATCTACAAAAACATTTATTTCGACTAATGCTGAATTCAAAACTACTTAACACAAAGCACTGTATTTACCTAGAGCATAGAGTCGGTCGTTGATGACTGCCACACTGAGAGCACTCCGTGGGCTGTTCATGGGGGACACAAACTCCCACGAGTTGTTTTCTGTATGGTAGCGCTCCACAGATCTCAGCTGAGAGGTGCTGTCGTACCCACCCACAGCATATACGTAACAGTCCATAGCAATAACACCTGCAACAGTGACCGGCATATTTATCTGTGAGTGAACGAATGCTTTTACATGCTAATCAACAGAATTTGATTAATACATGACAGAATCAATGAACACAAGACCAAATTAACAGCTAATTGGTTGAGAATACATGCAGATGGTGCTGATATCAAGGGGTTGACAACATTTTGATATTATGAAATAACATTTTAACTACATGAATGAAAATGATACATGAAAAAATGCTTTTGTTAATGTTAATCTGCTGTTTGTCAAAACATACTATGCATATATACTTCTTATCATTTTGTTGTAGTCACTTTTAGCTTGATAACAGTAAGAATCTACATCGAAATGTCACTCTATGCAATAAACAAGAAGCTGTCATCCATAAAGTTGTATGTTTAATTTTTGTAAATAATAGTTTTACAGGAAATAAATGTCATCGTTTTGAACCAAATTTGCCAAGAATACATGTGAGAACACTATCCAGTTTGATTTGACAAGTGAAATAATCTCCACTCACCAGCACCACTTCTCATAGTATTCATTGGGGCCACAAAATGCCACTCGTCCTTTTCAGGGTCGTAACATTCAACGCTCTTCAGACGATTTTGTCCATCATATCCTCCAACAGCAAACAGCAGGCGATTTACCACTGCACATCCCACACCAATACGATTGGTGGACATGGTGGATACCATTGTCCAGCAGTCTAGTTCAGGGTCATATCTACAACAAATATTATAAATTTAAATTTCAGGTTTGGAACAAATGAAACGGTGCAATTACAAATGAACAGAAATATCTCGCAAAGGATAATTACAGTAAACAGTCTAATGGTAGACATGCTTATTGTCATAGCATTAATGCACTATCACAAAATATATTTTTGCTGTATGTCTGTACATGTCAGCATATAAATAAAATTGTTTTATTATTTGTTTTTGAGTGTTATTTTTGTTTTAAATGATTTTTTAATATCAAAACAAAAATTACAAAAGTGTTCCTTATCCATATTTTCAATGAGCATAATTACTTTTCAGCAGACTTATGGTGAGTTTGTCCTTGAGAACCTCCAACAGCATAGATCATTCCATCGATCACTCCTACACCCACACGATTCCTGGGGACTGTCATCGGTGATCGTGGCGTCCATACATTCCTCATGGGGTCATACATGTCTAACGTGTTGGAATCCATGTTACCGTCTGGGGAGTTGTTCCTTCCTCCAACAACGTAGAGAGCTCCCCGAACTAAACACGCTCTGAGTCCACTGCGAGGGGTTGGCAAGTCAGGGAGACGATGCCATTGATTTGACTTTGGGTTATAGCACTCAAAATTACTTAGGGACTGTCGAAGGTAACCACCAGCACAAAAGATAACAAGCGGAGCACAAGGTAATCGAGGCTTTTCGGGACATTTTTCATGAAGTTTGAGCCTTCGAAGTTTATCGTTGAGAGTCTGTAGACACTGCGGCATCTTTTTGAGAATATGGCAGTCTTTGAGCTGTTGTTCTAGGAAACATGGAGACAGGAACTGAACCCTCACTGCCGCTAAGAGACCTTCCAACTTGCTGAGACGTTTTTCCGTGTCTGATTCCACCCATCGAATCACTGCCTGGAACACTTCCGACTCACATCGGATATTCAGTTCATCTTGCTTGATGAGCTGTATCATTTGGCAAGGACTCAGCATGAGGAATTCGTCACATTTGATAACTTCACAGAAGTGTTTGTAGATATAGGTTCTTGCTTTCGTTTCAAGCTCTGGGCAGCCATGTTCGCTTGCAAAGTCAGCAATACCAATACAGTTACTAGGGTCAAGCTGGTGCTCAAGAAAAACACTACAAGCCTCGACTACATGCGTCATCTGGAACATGGTGGCAGCTGGAAGAAGGTAACAAACGTTCATTTCGTTGATGTGTATTTCAGCAGTGTAAGCAAACTCCACAAGAACAGCTAGTGTACATGGTGATATACCATGCAGCGGAATGGACGACATTTCCTCCTCCCTCATTCCGCCAGTGAACATAGCACGGAAATATGGGCTGGCCGCGGCTAGTACTATTTTATGAGCCATTAGCTTCTCCTCTCCAACAATCAGTGTTACATCACACAATTTTTTAGTCCGACGGAGGATGCTCATTATTTCTAATGCCTCTTTCGGGTGCTTCATAATAGTGAAGTTCATGCTGCCATCTGGGGGTGTGTCTGTGATCTGTGGCTTCGGCCGGTAGCATGATGAAGGTATAGATGCCGCCATTTTGATCTTCTTATTCTTGCTCCCTTCTACAAGTGGCTGAGCTGCTTGTTGAAGATCCTTAGAATTAGCGTCATCTTGACCTGGAAAAGTAATGAACAGAATTAGTGGAAAGATAAGTTTTATACATGAGCGAGTGAGTTTGGTTTTATGCCACTTTGAGCAATATTCTAGCAATATCATGGTGGGGAACACCATTTTATACATGAAATTGCTGTGGTTTTGTAAAATGAATTCTGAACCCAGTGAAGAAACAGATCAATATTACATTGCTAAAGAAGTTTGTGACCTCAGCTACTGTAATGAGGACTGATTCTAGCAAACATTTGCTTAGTCAGGTAAGCACTAATAATGACAGTACTTGTAATATTAATAATAGGCAACTTTACAACATGTCTTGACACACTTCAAACATGACAGTCAAATAAAACAAAACAATTCATACTACATACAAAAGCTACGGCCCAAGGCAGGACATTTAATTTCCTGTTACACAAGCTAGTTGAATGAAATAACTTCAAATAAAATGTACATACTGATGCCCCCATAACTGGGAAAACACTGCATGCTAGCATGCAAATTACATGTCACCCTTGCTGCCTATCCGTCAGTTACACAATGTCAAGAAAACTACGATATTTTAATAATCGGTCAACAGAGCAATAATTTACCTTCACCACTGGCCAAGCTCAGATATTTGAAGTGTACACCACAAATATCAGTAGAAAACATACACCTAGTCTAGAGTACAATAAGGAAGAAACAACATTGTGCATTGTCATTTTCTTTCAGGGCCGTACATGACACTAAGCTATTTATGTGACTCTATTTTTAGATATGCTTAAGGAAGTAATATTGTTTGTACCTGATCATGAGAAGATTTCTACACCTGGTAGCCATGTAAACCCCGGCTACAGGCTTTGGTCACAGGACACACGCTTTACATGCTCGGCAAACATCAACATCTGTCACATTCGGGTTTAAATCTTACGGACAGTCAATGCTAAGCCCCACTATTTGAAACATGTTTTTTACTATAGAACAAGACAATACAACACAAAGACACACAGGTGGGGATAAACACTGTACTACACAAAGGATGTTAAGCACACCCCATGCCATGAACGATTAATATCAGTAACATGAAAGGATCAGGTGTTTCTCTACTTTCTTTGAGTAGTATACATCACAACTACTTCAAAGCTTGTATACACTGTGTTCCTTCATCAGCATATTGATGATAGACACAGTACAGGGCTGGGAAATCTTTAAAAGACAGTCAGAAATACTGTATTGAGAGATACTCAAGTACATACAATGATTGTGATATTTGCTACCAATATTGTGATACGTAGGAAAACAAAACATCTGTAGAGAGACACGGAGTGTGTGAGTGAGTGAGTGAATGAGTTGATTTTTACACCACTTTTAGCAATATTCCAGAAATATCACAGCGGGGGACACTAGAAATGGGCTTCACACATTGTACCCATGTGAGGAATCGAACCCAGGTCTTTGGCATGACAAGCAAACGCTTTATTCACTGGGCTACCCCACCGCCCCTGAGAGACAGGGAACACAGCGGGGGACACTAGAAATGGGCTTCGCACATTGTACCAATGTGAGGAATCGAACCAGGTCTTTGGCATGACAAGCAAACGCTTTAATCACTGGGCTACCCAACCGCCCCTGAGAGACAGGGAACACAGCGGGGGACACTAGAAATGGGCTTCGCACATTGTACCAATGTGAGGAATCGAACCAGGTCTTTGGCGTGACAAGCAAACACTTTAATCACTGGGCTACCCCACCACCCCTGAGAGACAGGGAACACAGCGGGGGACACTAGAAATGGGCTTCGCACATTGTACCAATGTGAGGAATCGAACCCAGGTCTTTGGCGTGACAAGCAAACCCTTTAATCACTGGGCTACCCCACCGCCCCTGAGAGACAGGGAACACAGCGGGGGACACTAGAAATGGGCTTCACACATTGTACCAATGTGAGGAATCGAACCCAGGTCTTTCGCGTGACAAGCAAACGCTTTAATCACTGGGCTACCCCACCGCCCCTGAGAGACAGGGACCTACAGGACCAAACACAGCCATGTTTTCAATTACTACCAAATGATCGAATAGAAAGTTATTAGCTGTTGTTTACCTAAAGTAATATTACCTCACATAGTCCTGAAGTTAATAATAGTGGCATATTATAAGTAGAATTATTGCCACATATCAATACTGGTCAAAAAGTATTGCAACATATATTGTGACACTTCATATTGCTATATTAATATTAAGATGTAACATATGTTATATTTGGGATTACACTTTCTTAGTAAAGTACAAATAAGAATAAGAATAAGAATTTGTACTTTACTAAGAAAGTGTAATCCCAAATATAACATATGTTACATTTGACCACTTTCTAAAATGGCATTCTGTATTTCACAATATTAAGATATCGCAATTCGCTGATAACATGGACACACCATACTAAATCTTCAACTGCGGGTTTGTGTTCATGGGTTTCACCAATATTTTAACCATCTGAGACCAACATTACTTTGGGCGTTCCTCCCCACAAGTTGACATGACTGTAAGGCTATCAACCATCTGAAACCTAACTCACTCTATCAATTTTCGGCACATTGAAAAGAGGAGCCTTTATTGAACATCTGTTACATCTTCAAACCTTAAAAGTTGCTTTCAGCCACTAGAAGTTATAAATTATGTTAAACCCAACTCATTCACTCACTCTCTCACTTTCCATCTGCAGAGTCACTACAAGTGTGAAATCCAATAATAACAGGCTGTCCTAAGGCTGATGATTTTCTTACCAGATACAACATTCTCCATGCGCTCCTCAAATTTATCATGAATCACTCACCATACAAGGAGAGAAATGAAATAAAATATAAATTTCAAAACCAAAATGATTAACAAACGATAACACACATAGATATATTTCTGGAATTAGCTGTGAGTACTGTATGTACAGACCGCTATCACTAATACAATCTCACATTTAACATCCATACATTTTTCAAATATTTTTCATCACATAGTTCTTAACTTCAGGAAATATTGCCATGCCACTCAACGTTTCACCAACAGTCTGAACACACATTCAGTCCCAATCACTGTTCCACACTTACAAATATTTTTTAATTTACCTGACATAAAATGGAGCATCAAATTCATCCAATTAAAACTATACACAATTCAGAAAAAGGTAAATACCTTCATCATCCTCGGCAAGAGAAAAATGTCTCTAGTCACAATTAGCAAGCACATCTTATCACAATAAAAGGACACACGAGGCACGTAGACAGCCCAAATCTCTGACAACCTTGAGAAGTCACTCGACCGTAATATTCAGTCACGTCTTCCCAGAAGGTCCATGCAAGTATCAAACTATTCTATTTTCTACATGATTCCTATACCCAGATGACACCATCTTGCCTCACCCTGACTCACTTTAAGTGTCACTTGAGTCTGTAGGTGTAATGACCTCAGTGTGTGCAATAAACTTAAGTAGGTTAACAGTTCACTGGTGTATGGCCTTTTGACGCTGGCTACCTATCATAATCACAGGCTTTAGTAGGTGGCCTTCAACAGCGGCCTTACACTATCGTCTGAAAACCTGACCATTTAACACACCCAGTAGAAGTTTTCCACAACGCCCTTCTTTCTTTTTTCTTGTTTGAGAGAAGCACTATTCAGGTGTGAAATGAACCAATCCCACTAACCTCATCATAAAAGGTAGTGATCTAGTTATTTAAAAATCCTGATTTTATTTCTGTACCCTAGTTCAGAGTATTTCCATGGAATGTTTGACTTATATAAATTTATTCAATATTTACAACAAAAAGTTTTGAATCACATTTCAATTCTTACAGATTGTAACTTACAAATTAATACACCATTAGTACACCAAAAATACTGTTAGAAATCGTGAAAGAAAATTTAGTTAAAATAACCCTGTATGTCATAGTACACTAGTAAAGACTGCACATATAGACAGGAAAGTGTGTTCCAAGTTGACATCCCCAGCAACAAGAGTTCAACATGTATAACTCACTGTCAGGGAGCAATATTGATAAATGAGCTAAACTGTCCTTAAACACACTACTACTGTACGTAAAGACCTTGACCAACTGACCTCTTGGACCCGAGGCTTGGTGTGGTGTCAGTGGGCAACATTAATGCAATGTTGATATCATATCATGTTATATTGTATCATATACAATTATTGATTTATAATTCAACTTGCAGTGTTTAGACCTAGGGATGTCCAGAGGCCATGACCATTTGTTAAGAATTCATATAGAGTTTATTTAAAAGTGTAGATTTCAATATCATGGTTAAGCCAAGGTCCCCTTGATTTCATTATTAACTTAACATATTCTAGGTAGAGCTGTGACGATATATCGAGATTTCTGTATCATCACACCCCTAATTTTAGGATAGGTTCAAAAATATGAACACATTCCATTCTATTCCTGAATCGATGTATTTATCCTTTTACAAATAATTCAATGTCTGAGTTAGAGTCAAATTTCTTCACAAAAACACGCTGGAAATATATCTTTTAAAGCTGATTGATAATAGATATAAATACACCATTGTCTATGTTTAGAAGATTAGATGACCTTTCAGAAGATACAGGACATGATCATAATGCTACACAACAGGAGCTTCAACTACCTTAAAAGCATCCGTGATGTTCAACAAACTGCCCCTGGCTAAACCGTTATTATGATGACAAAAATAACTGTTTTCAAAGAGCCATAAATAAGGATGGCTATATTGTGTTCATGACACAGCAGAAAATGTCAGATAAATGTTTTATATACCACTGGGAAAATTATAGATTGATGCCCACTAGGATGGATGAATGTACGTCACACACAGGGGAATCCATAGTCAGTATTGTCTTAACTATAGTCAAAAGGACAAAGTCAGACTTTGTGTGAGTTCCCCAGTACTGCTCCTTCATTGTGGCGAGGCTTTATGAGCAAGTATTGTCTTTACTATAGTCAAGAGGACAAAGACGGACTTTGTGTGAGTTCCGCAGTTCTGGTCCTCCTATTGTGGGTGAGGCTGAGTGACCAAGGGACAAACAATCATGTGTTGACAGTTTGGTTTGGTATGGATAATATACTCTTTGAGCCATGGTCAAACAATACTACTTTTAATGGTTACAGTGAGTGAGTGAGTGAATATGGATTTTTAGTAATATTCCAGCAACATCACGTTGGGGGACACCAGAAATGGGCTTCACACATTGTACCGATGTGAGGAATCGAACCCCTGCTTTCGTCATGACGAGTGAACGCTTTAACTACTAGGCTACTCCACCGCCCCTTTAACGGTTATAGCTTACCGGTACCTGGCTCAGCTGCATGTCAGCTTGATTGTCCTTGAATATGTGGTCACAATATTATTGCCAACTGACCTAATAACTTACAGCTGAATAAAATGTTATGACAGACTAAACAAATAGGGACAGGTGTTATTTATTACGTGGCATGTTGAAATACTGAAGGGTAGCCAAAGGACTAACACTGAGAGAGTTTCTTTCCCTCCAGCCGATGTACTGCAGTCTGACAGAAATATGAACATGAAGTTTTGAAATACTGATATAGTACTCCAGCCGAAATACTAATACAATGTTACCTGTGGTTAGAATTAGACTTCAGCAACCCATGTCTGTCATATGAATCGACAAACGTTATCGTGTGGTCAGGCTCGCTGAGTTGGTTTATTTATGTCATTGTATCCAAATTGTCCAAATTCGATGCGCAAGATGTCAATCACTGGATTGTTTCGACCATACTCAATTAATTACAGACCGGCATCATATAGCTGGAACATTGCTGTGGAGGACGTTGAAAACAAACTAATATAATGTTCGAGGATGAAGAATAGCAACAAAAAACATTACCATAACATACTAGTAAAAGTGTCTCAGAAGAAATATAGCCCCAAAAGCCCTAAAACTGAAACTGTAAAAAACTGTAATCCTCAAATGTTTCTAAAGTCTATCCATTATCTTGTTTGTGTAACAGAACAAAGACTCACGAGACAGAAACCCATACAAAACATGTAGAAAAATGTCCAATGACTATAAAAACTTTGGTCAGACTTTTCAACACTAAACTTACAACAACTTCAAAATGTGTATCCCACCTGTATTCATAACCACCGTACCAAACACCGGTTTCAATATCAGGTATCTATTGTACTCATGACCATTAAATGTTAATGTTGTAAAGTTCCTATAAACTTAACACTGACCTTACATTGTACAGAAGACAAAAATCCAAAACTGTGAATCCTTGGGACACATTCAGCATGAAGACTTCACCCTGGTGATTGTCTTCCATCCTTACAGCAGGCCTCATCATCCTCACGACACTCCTCAAAATGTATTGGTTGATATCGTCTCTTACGTCAATGTTGCTCACAACACACTTAGTCCAACCAGGTCTTTTGTTACCCTGAATGCCTGACTAGGCACAGTGTGCAGATCTCAAATATATCTACTGACTGCTTACATCAATAACCACATTGCATACTACCCACATTGAGCTCTCATTCAATATCACTCAAGCAGAACAGACAGGACATTGGTGGAAAAATGACCCTTTATATCTGAAAAGTTGCAACTCTCCTGTCAGATTTAATAGCTGAGAACTAAAGAGAGACCTTTGGAGTTGTTAAGGAGGTGATAAAGTGAAGTTCTCTATCAGAATGTTTCCTTATTCCCATATATTGGTTGGGTGGACAAGTGATGGTTAACAATCCGTATTACCTATCACACTTCGTTGGAAATCAAATATTCATGATGGGTTTTTTTAAGCTTCAAAATCCATCAAAGTAGACTGTATCTGATGATAAGGACTGATTCACCCCAACCCAGTTTGGCAGATGGGAAATGTGATGTTTCACATAGAATATGTTCATGAATTACCTTGCAATATGTGTATCAGTGGTGCACACGTACTTCTGAATGAAGTCTGTAGATTTAATACTTGCATAAAGCTGCTTATGAGGGTGATGTCCTCAACCAAACAATGTACAACAGCAAACCTCTGTCTGAACTATTTACTTAGATTATTTACTTAGACTATTACAAATATCGTCAGGAAATGGGCCTTAAGATTATCAGGTACGTTTAACCCAATCTGTAGACTGTGCTTTCACCTGAATGGAGGATTATAATAGTTTTGGTGATGATAACCCCAACAACATACAACCTCCTTTCCAACATTTCTTACCCATGAAGATCTGGGTTAGAACTGATCTTCAGCAGCCCATGCTTGTCATTAAAGGCAATTAATGGGATGGGTTGTCAGGTCACTGACTTGGTTGACACATGTTGTATCCCAATTGCTTAGATCGATGCTCATGCTGTTGAGTGAGTTTAGTTTTACGCCGCACTCAGTGAGTGAGTTTAGTTTTACCCCGCACTCAGCAATATTCCAGCTATATAGTGGCGGTCGGTAAATAATCAAGTCTGGACCAGACAATCCAGTGATCAACAGCATGAGCATTGATCTGCGCAATTGGGAACAGATGACATACGTCAACCAAGTCAGCGAGCCTGACCACCCGATCCCATTAGTCGCCTCTTACAACAAGCCTGGGTTACTGAAGATCTAGGGGGCTAGGAGGATGCTTCACATCACTTATTGTTTCAATAGGATTACATTTACTCCTAGATATAAGGTATCTCATTTATAATACAAGCACATGCACGCATCGCACATACAAATTAAATCCAAAACATCCCAGGATATTTCTTAATTTTCAGAAGCTGAGGTAATCTAGACTTGGGGACAATCTCCTCAGTCTGAAGCCAGAGTCCATCAAAATTTTGTTTGGTATACTGAGCTAGCAAATAATAATAATAAACATAACAACACACACTATACTGAAATAGCCAAGACCACGTTTGTTGTCTCAAAACACAAACTGAATGAGAAATAATGTATACAAAACCCAAACTGCTTCCTACCACACTGCAGCTGCAACTCTTGTAAATACAACTCATTCTCAGTAAGGAAACAAAGCATCTAGTGCTTACAATGTTGCTCCATCAGCAGCTTTCAGTGAGAGGCTTCAACATTATGGCAGGGAAAGTTCCACGTGTACCTCAAGCCATACCACAGTGGGTGTTGGCAATATACGGTATGTAGAATCTGACCCAAAGCGAAGAGCACTCAGTGACTGACCCTCAAAGGTAGGACCACTTCACCTTTGTCATGTCACCTGTTAAACCGCTGACTTAAAGGGTGAAGTGTTAAGAACGTTTTTATACTTTTTACAAATATACTGATGGAATAAAATAAGGTAACAGGATAAAAGAGAAGTTGATGTTGGGTGTAACATTTTGTTATATACCAAAGAAATTAATACTATATAGCAATGTACACATGAGATTATAATGTTTTCATTAGTAAATTATTTTGTTGATTCAAAGCATTTTTACTGAAAACAGACATAAACACTGATCTATTTCTTTTTGTTTATTAAATTATGTCTGAGTAACTCAAAGGAGATTGTATCTAACCTTGTTAAGAAAACTATTAGGAAGTAAGGTTTCATGGGATTAAGTAAGATAATATTTCTTTTATCTCCTCTTGGCATCAAGTTTAAGAAATTTGAGGTCAGGTATAAATGAATAAAATAGATATTATCCTAACATTCAAATTGTTGAATCTAATATTCAAAATGTAAAACTTGTACAAAATATCAAGAAGATTTTCAGCATACCTAAACTGTTGTCCATGTTCAGCTGTGTACATTTGAAGAAATAGAGACAAAGTAAAACTGTTACTCAATAACTCCAGATGATGTTATAATCAAGTAGGAGGACATTTCTGTATACACCACACCTATGTGCCTACTACCTGAAGTTAGTCATCGAATACTGACATCCGTGGGTCCCCACTCAGTGTACAGTACAGACAATGATAAACCAATCAAGCCTAACAAACAATACACTATCTTGAAATTGACCTGTGAGAACTAACATGTACCATCAGATCAGATCATATACCACAATGGTGCATGTCATTCTGATTAGTGCACCTAGGTTATATCAGTGTATATACCCCAAGCTATGAACTAATCACCGATCGGATGTTGCATCACCTTGTCATTGGTCAGAATTTCTGTTCACTTGATATAACTGATACTATTTGACAACATTATTCTTCAAACAACACAGTTAGGAAACGCTAATTGTTTACAACAGCTATACATTTAAAATCTTTTAAAACATTTTTATGATGAAGTCAGCAGCAGAATTTGCCACAATACTTACATTGGTCTGTGCTCCAGCAAGACTGACAACATTGCTCATTTTCACCACACCACTTGACAGGATCATCATATATTCTCATAGTTGTGGATTTATGAAGAGCCAGCACAAAATCCAGATGCACGGCATTCACAATGACAAACTATAAACTGTAATTGGGACGATGAACTGTCGCGAACTGTTGCGAACTGCCGATGCCGATTTTTCTTTTCCGTTTCTTGCAGTTCTAACCAATTTGAACACAACTAACTTTTGTGGGGAAAATAAATGTTCCCTGTATCCGTATTAAATATTTCCTGTATGAAGGAAATCTTCCCGTTCTGAGTGAACCTCTCCTGCTGTGCCATCAGTAACTAAGCATCTGACATTTAACTATCCGCGTGAAATATCTGCCAGTCATACTACAGCAATAACTGGCGTGGCTATCAATCAGTCTAAAGTGCTGTGTCATCCCACCTCAGCCTACCTCGGCCTACCTCAGTCGCTGTTTACCTGATCACTTTTTTCCCCGACTGATCACACATTCATTATCAGACAGAGACATGGACAGTACAGAGCATGGAGTTTATATGCACTGTCGGTGAAGGTTACTTATGTAATTAATTTCCTCTCTAATGACGATGCACATTTTGATCTGTACTGGGAATGGCACTGACAATTTATTATGTTATCTATAGCAATGACATTGTATCGCTATGTATGCAATTAAGGATACAAATTATCATAACAACTCTGTTTTTGATAGGAAGTGCCAGATATGCCATTCAATTTGAATATGAAAACAACAGATTATGAGTATCAGTTTTGTGTGTCATACAATGATAAAAATATCAAAGGTTGAGCAGTATATTTCCATCTGAAATGAAATCATATCTTACTTATGGAAATCTATCATAGCACAGTGCCCCATAATGCACTATTAAAACACTATTATAAGTAAGCCTATAATGCCCAATGCCCAATAATGCACTATTAAAACAATATAGTAAGCCTATCCTAATGCACAGTGCCCATTATGCACTATTAAAACACGATAGTAAACCTATAATAATGCATAGTGCCCCATAATGCACTATTAAAACACTATAGTAAACCTATGATAATGCATAGTTCCCCATAATGTACTATTGAAACACTATAGTAAACCTATGATAATGCATAGTGCCCCATAATGCACTATTTAAACACTATCGGAAACCTATGATAATGCACTATTGTGCCCCATAATGCACTATTGTGCCCCATAATGCACTATTAAAACACTATAGTAAACCTATGATAATGCATAGTGCCCCATAATGCACTATTAAAACACTATAGTAAACCTATGATAATGCATAGTGCCCCATAATGCACTATTGAAACACTATCGGAAACCTATGATAATGCACTATTAAAACACTATAGTAAACCTATGATAATGCATAGTGCCCCATAATGCACTATTAAAACACTATAGTAAACCTATGATAATGCATAGTGCCCATAATGCACTATTAAAACACTATAGTAAACCTATAATAATGCATAGTGCCCCATAATGCACTATTAAAACACTATAGTAAACCTATGATAATGCACAGTGCCCCATCATGCACTATTGAAACACTATAGGGAAGCTATCATAATGCACAGTACCCCATCATGCACTTTTAAACACCATAGTAAATCTATCATAATGCACAGGACCAAATAATGCACTATTAAAACACAATGGGAAACCTACAGTATCCCACAATGCACTATTAAAACATTATGGGGAAGCTATTATAATGCATTATTGAAACACTATAGGAAACCTACCATAATGCCCAGTACCCCATAATGCACTATTAGAACACTAAAGGGAAGCTATCATAATGTACAGTGCCCCATAATGCACAGTATTAAAACACTATTGGGAAACTATCATAATGCACTATTAAACCACTTATGGAAACCTATCATAATGCACAGTGCCTCATAATGCACAGTATCAAAACACTATTGGGAAACTATCAGAATGCACTATTAAAACTTTATTGGAAACATATTATAATGCACAGTGCCCCATAATGCACAGTATTAAAACACTATTGGGAAACTATCATAATGCACTATTAGAACGCTATAGCAAACCTATGATAATGCACAGTACCCCATATTGCACTATTAAAACACTATAGGGAAGCTATCATAATGCACTATTAAAACACTATTGGAAACCTAGTCTTCACCCGCCAGTCTCGTATCTGCCAGGATTGGTGCAACATAAATCTTTGCAGGAAAAACTACAGCTTCCAAACCACCTTGTTGACATGCTGTGAATGACAACAGCTCACGATGATTGTGCTAAAATTCAGGTCTAAAGATTACGTCCAAACCAGGACCTGAGGGCGCACACACCCGTCACCAGTTGACCTGCACACAGGCTTCACATACACAACTGTTAAAACCATATCAGACCATCGATTGAGCATGACTAGGTGAAAATAAGCTGTATGTAGGATACAGGCACAAAACTTTATATAATTTGATGCATAAAAATTAACCAAGATTTACACGAAAACAAACATAGATATTTATTTATATTTACAATGAACACTGCACATAAACAGAAAACATTTTAGTCTTGATCACAAATTAATAACCTGCAATTCTATGAGTACAAGACAATAGTAAAATTAAAAATAGTCCCCACAGTCCCTTGCAAACACTAAATCACAGGCAAACATGGAAATTGAAAGACATCCCATGATGCATCATCACATTAAAAAGAAGAAGAAGAAGTAGCAGGATCAAACGAAATTAAAAAATAAATAAATAGCTAACCCATATTTTGCACCTTTAATCTTGAAGCTTCCAAAGAAAATTCCACTGGTGATAAAGCTCAATCCCAGCCATATTTGTTAATGTGACATATTATTAATTTCTATGATGATGGAGCACCAAGGGCGGTATCCATATTGTATGCATCAACACTTATCTGTGACGACTGCAAATCAGGATGACTCTGCTATAATACTATCTCATAATAACATGTTTCAGCTGGGGCAACATCATTTACAAACTAAATCGGGTGGGGAAAAATGTAACATTTTTAGATGAGATGCTTTTTCTGAATGGACATTTTTCCAGATATAGATAAAATTCTTAGAGCAAAGAAACAACATCAAAATAACTGAATACCAATATGCAGTTTTCTTTGCTTTTTAACGCTGCACTCAGCAACATTTAAGGCTATATGATGGCAGACCAAATAATCCAGTGATTGACATCATGAGCATCGGTCACTAGCATCAGTTATGAACATAAATATGCACTGACAAAACTAGCAAGCCCGACCATCCAGCCCTGTTAGTTGCCTCTTACAGCAAGCATGGGTACAGAAGCCCAATTCTAACAAGGATCCTCACAAAACAAATACTTTCTGTAGGAATATAGACTGAGAGAAACAAATAAAGGAGCACAGGAAAATTCAAGAGTTCCTTTAATATTTTCCAGTTTTCATCACCAGCTTTGAATAGCACTGTGATGAAAATTGGAAAATATTAAAGGAACGCTTGAGTTTTCCTGTGATCCTCTATTTGTTTCTCTCAGTATATAAGCAATCTTGTTGATAAAGACAACATGACAGCTATATGACGACAGTCTGTACATATCATAGCTTGGACCAGACAACCAAGTGATCTGCAAACGATCTATGAGTTGTCACATGATTATATGCATGAACCAAGTCAGCGAGCCTGACCACCCGATCCTGTTTATTGCTTTTTACAACGAAGATGGGTTGCTGAAGACCAATGAATACCAATTCTAACCTGGATCTCTACAGGAGATTATGCACAGTTAATGACAAAGAGTTCAAGTCATTCAATTTTAAAGGCTTATCAGGCAGGACATTTTCCTGTTGCCTCTGCTAGCAATAGCAGTATTTGAGTCCCTAGGTCCTTGAGGTCGTTTATCTGGACCCCTTGACATTTATGCTTTACTTCAAGCTTGAGCTGTCCTTAAATTAAGAACAAAATCTTCTGATAATGAAGACAGTAGATATGATTTAAGGACACTGTTTAGACCACCAGATTATACATATACCAGCTTGCAAATGGGTGTCTGAGTGAGTTATGAAAGAAAGTGAACACATTTGAATCTGTAATATCAATGTTAATGTATTCAACAGTAACCGATATTACGCCCATGTCACTGTGTCGTGTAAATAATACAGAATGTACCAGATAAACTAGTTCTTTATACCATGGGCACCACTCCCCAGTCACGGCAACACAGGTAACCAGGTAACACAGGTAACCAGCAAACACCTACTTTGTTGTTCTAGTCAGCACCTACTCTGCCCTGGTATTCCAAGGGTGACAGTCATTTGTAGGCATGGACAAGTTCCCCATTTGGCTTCTGCTACTCCTAGACTAATGCTTAGTCTCCGGGGGCAATGGGGTAGCCTAGTGTTTAAAGTGTTAGCTTGTCATGCCAAAGACCCGTGTTCGATTCCCCACATGGGTACAATGTGCGAAGCCTGGTTTCCCCACCATGATGTTGCTGGAATATTGCTAAAAGCGGCGTAAAACCAAACTCACTCACTCACCCACTTAGTCTCTGAATATATATAATTACCACAGAAACAAAGAAGTTTTTTTTAATTGAAAAGTAGCCCCTGCGAGAAGAGAGATTCAGGACTTGAACCTGGGGATATCTAGACTTGCTTCATTTAGGGCTTAAACATTGCAGAAAGGTCTAGGTGGATGGGAAAATTATGCGGTTCTGGGACTGTGAGACAGACTACTGCAACTCCCTTCACTTTCTGCTGCAACACTGGTAAAGCAGACAATATCAAGTTCACAAAAAATAATGCGTTTCATATTGAGATACTGTCAAATTTTCCCTTATTTTGTTCTAGTAATGACAAATGTAGGCGATGCCTATTTCAAAATGTGAACAATATAATGTCCAAAGACAATATAAAAACATTATTCCTATCTTGTTCTTGAATGCGATTATACATTTTTATGAACGAATGACTACAAAATATCCAGCATCATACATATAGCAAACTAAAAATTCTGTTAAGTTGGAACAGACACCAACCATCGACTACTAAGTGACATCATTAAACTGAACAATCGATGCTATTCATGCAACCTCCATACCCAGGCAAGCCTACTTCCTGCCACCATAAACCTTTAAATTTGCTGTGTCACACTAGCTAACTGCAGGACAAAATCCCAGCAAAGACTGTTGCAGTTTCCTGCAAGTCACTGAAGTACAGAGGCCAACTATAATGACATGCAGCAACACAAATGGCTACCCCTGAACGTTACCCCCAGGTGATGCTACAGTTTGTATACATGCATGCAAACAGAATC